GGGGGGGGGGGGGGGGGGGGGGGGGGTTTGGGGGGGGGGGGGGGGGGGGCAGCGGCCTGACTGCAGCCGTCCCGCGCCGTGCTCAGGAAGTCTGCTCCCCCTGTCCCCACATTCCTACCGCAGATGTTTGACAGAGAAAATATTTTTGCAGCTGGGAGGGAAGGGAGGGAAACGCATCTTACAATATATCACACAAAAGGTGGCAAGGGAGAAAAAAACAGCAGACGATGTAGCACTCAGTTGGCAGCTCTCTCGTCTCCCACATAAACTTTCAGCAGCGCAAATCCGAGGTAGTTATCGTATTTCCACTCGCCACACATTGGTTCCCGGTACTTAATGGGGTGATTTTCTTTTCATTTCTTTTCATCGGTTGGCTGGAAGCCTGAACTGTATCTTGGCCAAACTAATGACGAACAGCTAAGGGTTTTTAGGATGCCAAGGGAGGTCTAAGTGGAATATCTGTGCCTCCTGAGTTCAAAGATTAGTTTTGCTGCAATGTCATCCACATAACCTCACCCCCTGAGCCGCTAACAGATTACAAAACAAACTGCAACCTTCCGTAAATATACCATTCAGTTGGAGCTGTCCTGGGATCTTGCTTGTCACATTCAGCATAATCCTAATCTCACTCCTGCCTGGGATTGTTCCGTCAACTGTGGGAATGGCTGCCGAGGAAACTTAGGATTCCCTGCTCGGAAGTCTCCGGACTGCAATTCACATTGCGGTCCAGTGTTCACCCCCGCTTAGAGTTTCCAGCGTGTGTGATCGCAGCTGCGTTTGCGAGTCCGAAGGTTCACAATGCAAGGAGGAAAATGAAGAGGAGTGGGGATCGCCCTTCTTTCCGTCGTTATGCTTGGCGCCCGCCGTTGGGTCACGAGGGCGATCCAGTGGGAAGCTGTCCTCCATGGGTGAAGGCCGCCCGCCGTTGGGTCACGAGGGCGATCCAGTGGGAAGCTGTCCTCCATGGGTGAAGGCCGCCTACTGTTGGGTCATGAGGGCGATCCAGTGGGAAGCTGTCCTCCATGGGTGAAGGCCTCATCATGACGCCCATCTTACCCAACAGCCTGGGCCAACTATCCAGACCGACATTATCTATCCACAGTCCCCAAGCTGTATATGAGCTGCACAGTTGACAGAGGCTGAATATTGAGATTATAAATCACTGATATGAACTTATAGCATAAGCACTAACGCACGATTGTGAAATCGATAACAGGGTAGTTTACTATGTTAACAACAGGAAGGGTAATGATGGAGATGAGCATTATGATGAAAATCATAGTCATATCAAATCAACGGAGGTTAATATCTTAAGCACAATGCTTAGAAATGTGGCTTTTGACATTTCTAGTGAATGTATCCTCGTTCTAGAAAAAGCTGTGGGTAAAATGATGAGAATTCAATTATTATTAATTAACATCATATACTGAAGTTCCCCGTGATGGACTGGCAACCCATCCTGTATTTCCTGGATCAGGCTCCAAGCTCTCTGTCTGCCTGTACTGGACCAGTGCTTATAAACGATGGATTGATGGAAGGAGAGATGACATATTTAATGAATTTCCACGACTATGGCAACCATTAAGACAGCATTCCTTCTACACCGTCAGCAGTCTGCTCAAGGCCATTTCCATCCTTGGAAGGAGATGACTGAGGTAGTTCCTGACTGCCACCAGTCATATTTCCATGCTACACGCTCAGCAAATCTACACATCGACAAGCACATGCAACAAAAACACCAAACATACCTTCAGGATAAAACAATCATGAACCACCAATACCTGTTGTAATGGATATGCTGTTCAGACAACAAATGGTACGAAAAAAACACCAGGTCTGGCCAAAAAGTGGCACGAAAGTGTGCAAAAATCATAATAAAGGGATCACAGCTATAAAGTATAAATAAGAGGCTGGTTTATACTCACACATTATTCTGTGTCTCTAAAGGAATTAAAAGCTGCAGCTCAATAATGAAGGACTTTACATTAAAGACATGAGGATTGACTTCTGTAGGTCGATCTGTGACTCTACTCTGCAGAGACTCGGGTGTCAGAGTCAGAGCTCCAGATCGATGAAGACGCGGAGTGGTGAGCAAACACGGCTCCCCTCCGCACGCGTGTGATCACAGGCGTCACCGATGAGCAGCGAATCCGAGATCCATCACACCTTCCACAAAGCAGTTGTGTGAGCAGAGCTGCACTTTCCCAAGATAGAGAATTGAAAATTATAGATCTATTGTCTTTTTTGGATAACTGTGTTAGAACTGCCCTCCTCAAAATGGAATATGTGTTTTATCCATTACATTAGCTGTGTCATCTTCATGACCTCGGACAACATTTTTACCCTGAAATGTTGATCATTGCAAATCCACCCTGTTGTGAATTGTGAATTGAACATTGTGCATCCATACTGTACTTCTCTGAGGAGAACTTGCTGTCTCTGCGATGCCGAACTGATCTGCGGGGCACAGGGAACCTGGAGAATGGGATGGGGAAATGTATTAGTATTTGTGGTCAGGAGGAGATAATGATGTTCAAATGCACATTTTGGTCTTTAATGTAAACAAGCACACTCTCTCTCATTCTCTCTCTCTCTCCCTCTCATATATAGTATGATCTTACTTAATACTACAATCAAATAATCACCCATGAGTAGAGGAGCCTGCCCCCCACCCCAGCCCTTTCCCCCAAACACCCACGCCCTTCCATGGTTTACAGCCTACCCCGGAATTGCTTTTTGCACTGCCTATAAATTATCGGCTTAATTATAAAGCTCAGTCACACAACTGGTTGTAGCCTAAGGCCCTGTTATGTTTCTCTGTATGCTTTGTGGTGGTATATATCCTCTCTGGCTTCCTTGCGATCGGGACGCTGTTGTGGACCTTGTGCCCCCAGCATTGTGGTGGACACCACCAAGGTCACCAAACGTTTCTAATGTTTGTGAGGAGATCGGCATTCTTTCGGGGCTCAGGGATCCTACGGCAGAAGGGAAATCTGATCGTTTGCTTCCTGTGTGCGGCCCGGCGCACATTGCAGATTTCTCACACTTGCACATGCTATTGTGACCCTGGATAACCTCAGGAACAACTGGCCTGTGCCTCACCCCCCCCATCTCCTTTACTAAAAGAACTAGTGAAAAAAATCTTTGGCTGGAGGACATGGGAAGATCTGCGTCTGTTAAATCTTCACCCCGGCTTTTTGGCTCATGTGGGCTGTCACTCGTACTCCTTTTCGACTAACGGCAGTCAACTTAATCTCCGCAGTGCGTCGACACTGCCGTTTATCTGCTTGATTAACTTGTCAAGAGCTCGGCGACTCCCACTGTTTCCAGAAAAGCCACTAAAGTGCAATGACGCAATAGCAGCCACCGACAGACCTGAGCCCATTGACTCATCAATAGCTGTAACCTGAATCTATAATTCGGTAATTATCCTCCAGCAAAGCAGACCCAGCGAAGTCACAGAAGGTGATTTCAAGGCATTTCTGTTCGACTGTCAGAGCTGGTAATGAAATTATCACATACTGGGGATGGTAGCAATTATGGTGCATTATGGAGCTTCCGCCAGAGGGAGGCGATAGGGAGACAAGCAAACGGAGGCTGACACCTCACCAAAGCCCGACTTCCTTTCATCAAAAAAATCTCAATAGAAGCGAATAAAGCCTGGGGGGGCGAGGGGGGTCTTGCTGGTTTCACAGGGCGGACTCCCAGTGCAGGAATGTGTCTGAGGCTTCCAGTGAAAAGGGAAGACAGTCACTGGAAGACAGAAAAGTGATACACTAGTGTCCTTGTGCCCCGGCACCCCTGCTCCCTCTCCCCCAAGAGCCCCGGTCACCCGATGATAGTGAACAATGGGATGGTACGTTCTGTCGACCCGGGCCGGATGTGTCACCATGCGCAGGCGTGCAGGACTTCCCGCCATTGTATGGGGACCTGGCCATTGTGCCTGGGCTGTACACACCCCCCCGCAGATTCTTCACACTGGGGGGGCGCTTTCAGCCCTGGTCAGGAAGCACGGGGCCCCCAGGCACAGGGCCATTGTGGCCTACAGCAAAGTGACATCAAAAGGGCCCCCCAAGGCTGGCCTTCCACTCAGGGCCCTCTCGGGTCCCACTGGGCCGTACACTCCGGGCACTGCGATTTGTGGGAAATGACGGACTGAGCACATTTGTGGAGGATGTACAGGAAAGACAGAAGAGCCTAAAGACTCTCTGCCTGCGAATCACTGCATGTAACGTCTCCTGTTTCATTGTCACTGCGCAAAGTATAAGTACTGCAAGATAGTTTGGCATCTAATCCGAAAAAATGAAATGATGCAAAAGTCATCATTCTATCTATCGGGGGGGTATGCAGTGCATAGCGATGGCCGGCATTGGGTACAGATTAGGTGCAGTATTGAGTGTTCAGCAGGGAGGCAACTGAACACAGGGCTGTTGATCTGAGAAAATCAAGGTCACATTTGCATACGTCTAAAGCTATATGACAGGGGAGGGAGGCATGGAGCCTCAGGGTCCCAGGGTTTTGGGCTCATTGCTGCCCCCAGGGTTTTGGGCTCATTGCTGCCCCCAGGGTTTTGGGCTCATTGCTGCCCCCAGGATTTTGGGATCGTTGCTGCCCCTTGTTCATGCAGTTAACCCCCCCCCCACCACCACCACTCCCAGTCTCCTCCCACAGCCCAAAAATGTGTGGACCTGCTGAATCTGTGTCTCAAAATTGCACTTCACATGTGCGTGTGCAGAAATGGACTGACATGGCCTGTCTCAAACCCTGGGGCGATATGCGGACTCGGTGAAGATGACAACCAAAGCGGGGAAGATATTATTGTTACGGTTTATTTGCTCACTCATACGTGGAACACGCTATACGTCTGCGAGAATTCCTCAAAGCCAGTGTTTTTTTCGTACTGTGCATGATTCACTGCAGATACACTGGTACGGAAGAAACCTAGAAAGGACGTCTCCGAACTTCATGGCTGTCGGGGCGTGAAACATGATAACCAGACTTCACAATAAAGGTGGGGGGCGGGGGGCCTTCAGCCCGCAGCCATTGACACATCACACGATGTTCAGAGCACTCTTTGGAACAGTATACTGTGAAGAGCTGTGAAAGTCCCTCAGGTGCATGCCAATGTCAACATTTACATGCGAGATTGAACGCAGGTACGAAAATGATAAAGACTGATCATTACCTGACACTGGAGCCTCTTGCTTTGGTACATCTGACCTTCCTTTACACCAGTTGTAGTCTGTTGTGTTGCTATTCAACCCCATATCATTCTTGAGTCCTCGGGATTTGCCATTTTAAGTGGATGCTTTAGGACAGGGTTTCTCAACCCGGTCCTCGGGGACCACCAGACGGTCCATGTTTTTGCTCTCTCCCAATTCCCTGCCAATTGGGAGAGAGCAAAAACGTGGACCGTCTGGTGGTCCCCGAGGACTGGGTTGAGAAACCTTGCTTTAGGAAACTAACTTGTTCTGCAGCTTGCTTGCCTTTTTGTTGACTGGAAGAGTATCTTCTATAGGTCCTTGGATAAACACTAATAACGCAGCACAGCAGCAGCTTATTAGCATGTATGATTTTTCTGCAGGGGTTCTGCAACACCAACCCTCCCTTTACAATAACAACAACATGCAACATGCTTTGTTTGCCATTTGCACAAGTACACATACAGGTACGTTGGGATGCTTCTCTTTGCCGACACCATCTTGCTCTCCATAGCTTGGGGGTCACAGTACAGGGTCAGCTGATGTGCGGGGCCCCTGGAGCTGGGGGTTAAGGGCCTTGCTCAAGGGCCCACGGACATGTGACTGTTCTGCCAAGGCTTGGGTTCAAACCAACGATCTACTGATTATAGGCACAGAGACTGAGTCTGCTGAGCCACTCGCCGTCGCCCCCCCCCTTATGACCTCTGACCTGTAATTGTAAATTAGAGGATGACGAAACCTCTTCAAAATGCAGAGAGCAACAAGCATTTTAATAATGTATGCGACACACACAAGAGAACCACCCTTTTTTATATGCTCAGAACACCTTCAGATGAAAATGCTCACAATGTCACTGGCAAAAGAACTCAGTGACACCTGACCTAGGTAATCCCATATGTTACATAATAGCGACAAAATAATCTGTGTTTTTTTTAATCTGTTTATAATTTTTGAGTCTGAATTCTTTCTTGGAGAGCAATTTTTTCTGTCTGAAGACTAAATGACAAAATGAATTGCCTGAATTTACACATGGTACATTTTACGATTTTCAACAATAAACAATAAAAACGTGTTTTATCTGTGGTGCTTACAATATGTCAGATCCATGGTTTCATGATGTGAAACCATTATGTAAACAGAAAAAAATACCCAAACACGTCCTTACCATCACTTGTCTGCATATATCATATTTTTAATTCCCATGTGTAAGCAAAAAGGTGACATTTGGAAAAAAAAACCCAGCCCCCTTTCTTTGCTTTGTCACTTGGTTACGGTGACCATGGAAACAGAGCTGTAAAACGTGTTGTCTTCCCAAGAATTAAAAGAAAAGACATCTAAATTTGACTTGAGCTGAGATTTTTGGAAAGACAGAATTGCAGCTTTAAGTAAAACAGCATTTTTGACTAATGGGAGAATATTCTCTTTAGCAAATACGTACACATTCAGCTTGGAGCGATTAGGAATTGTGTAAGCAAACCGAAATTTGAAAGACACAAATGCGAAATAAAATGTCTCCACTTTGAGCCGTGCCGAATTCACGTTTTCCCTGTGCATGTTTCTAACACTCAGGACAGGAGACGCTAGGTCTGTCTGCCTCGTCTTTCATTCCCGACTCTCACTCCTTCTCTCCCTCAAACAGCCATCTTAAATCCATTCAGGGATCTCTGGGGACTGGCTCTCTGCATTCTCAATATGCTCGCCGCTCCCTGAGCCCGCATGGTCGCCATGGCAACTGTGGACCACCTCTGGCTCCCGGTACATCTGCTGGCCCTCCCCACAATCCCACCCTCACCCCGCCCCCCCCCCCCCCCCCCCCCCCCCCCCCCCCCCCCCCCCCTCCCCCCGCTTTGTGTGCCACTCCGTCCGTGCGGCGAGCCGGCCCGATGAATGCTGTGGATTGTTTATGCTGCACCCTGTGGCAGATACTGGTTAGCTAAGCATGCCGCTCTTTCATGACTAAGGAGCGCTGATGGGCACAGACACCACAGGGCGTCTTTCATCCTTTACGGCTAAGAAACCTCCATTTTATCTGCACTGAGATGGAGATGAACCCACCAGCGCCAAGCCCTCCCCTCCTCTTCAGTTGGCTGACAGGTAATGCCAGCACAGCCTGGAGAGGGCAGACGTGGTCTTCTGTCGCGTGGTGCAGTGAGTTCTTTCTGCTGAAGACCACAGAGCCTCTCCGTCTCCCGGCAAACATGCTGTGTCACAACACAACCCCTCTGTCCCGGACCACCCGCTCGGAACCGAAACCCCTCGCAGGGCTTTATGCCC